AAGTAATTCTCGTCCCTTCAAAAGGCTTCACCAAACCCAAGAAGGACGAGATCCCAGCTTTGCCTCCATGAAATCACACTCCGGGAAATAAATTGACTTAATAAACTTGGCCCAGAAGGAATTTTGAAAAGTAAGGAATCTTCACCCTTGTTTAGCTAGAAGGGCTTGATTGAAGGAGGAGAAGTCCCTAAAGCCCATTCCTCCTCTCATTTTCGGTTCAATCATATTCACCCATTTCTTCCAGTGAATTCCTCTCTTCTCCCCTTCTTTGCCCCACCAAAAGTTACGAACATACCGGTCTAACTTAGCACAAAAGCTCTTTGGAAAACAAAGTACAGACATTGGATAGGAGGGAATAACTTGTATCACTGCTTTGATTAAAATTTCTTTGCTCCCTTGTGTGAGTAAAAACCCTTTCCAGCCTTGCATCTTTTTCAAGACCTTTTCTAACAAAAAACTAAAAATCTTAGACTTTGATCTTCCCCAAAACGTAGGAACCTCCAGATATTTTGTGTTAGGAGCCAAAGGCCGCATATCTAGGAGGTTACAGAGTTGCTCATTCTGTTCAGCTGTTGTGTTGGATGAGAACAGAATTCCTAATTTCTCATAGTTCATACATTGTCCCAAAGCCACACAATACTCACCAAGGATTTTGAGAAAGTTCCTTATCCACTGCTCCTTAGCCTTAATAAAAAAATAGGGAGTCATCTGCAAATAGGAGGCAAGACACGGAAGGGCTCTTTCTGCAAGCTTGGACACCCTGGAACCTGTGACGTTCCACACATTTTTGGAGCAAAAAAGATAGCACATCAGTGACCAAGATGAAAAGATAGGGATCTCCCTGCTGAATACCCCTTTGTGGATGAACCATGCCCCTTCTGTCTCTATTCAACACAATTTGGAACATTACAAACACATTGACAGATAAGATGCACCCATCATGAACAGAAGCCCAATTTGAGCATCATCACTTCGAGGAAGTCTCATTCAATCCTATCATACACCTTGCTAATATCCAGTTTGGTAGAGAGATATGGGATGTTACCTTTCTTCTTCAATTTCAGATAGTGAAGGATTTCGTTTGCTACAACAATACTATATTGAATCTGCTTTCTAGGGACAAAGGCAGCTTGTTGAGGAGAAATGATGAAGTGCAACATTCCTTTCATTTTATTTGCCATGACTTTGGAGATGATCTTGTACAGAAAATTGCACAACGCTATTGGTCTGAATTGTGATATGGATTCCGGATTTGCTTCCTTGGGGATTAGGACAAGATTAGTTCTATTCAGCTCCTTCAACATAAATCTCTTCTCAAAAAAATTTCTGACAACAAAGCAAACATCATTCCCAACTATATGCCAATAGGTCAAAAAGAAAACCCCTGGAAAACCATCAGGGCCAGGTGTCTTGTGGGTCTCCTATTGTTTAGCTACCAAGAAGACTTCCTCATCCTTAATCTCCATCAGAAGTTGATGATTCATATGATCAGAAACTTTACATTCCACACCTTCCAAAACGCCTTCCTAAACGCCTTCCAAAAGTCTTTGACCTGTGGTAGAAAACAGGCGTTGGAAATAGTCTATTATATGGGTGTTTATCTTATCTTCCTCCTCAAGCCACACTGCATTGTCTGTTTTGAGCCTGAAAATCTTATTTCTTTGTCTCCTTTAAATTGTTGATTGATGAAAGAACTTCGTATTTTGATCTACAGAGTCCAACTAGTTGATTCGGGATCTCTGCTTCCAAAATTTCTGTTCCCTTGCATTTATTTTGTCAATTTCGACAGCAATGTCAGCCTCCATTATGAGATTATCCTCTGTGGCTTCCTTCATCTGAGTGTCTATTAGTTTAAGATTGAGCTGAGTTAATAATTTCCTGTTGTTTGTTGAAGTGTTGTCTGCTCCAGCTAGCAATCTCCTTCCCACATTATTGTAATTTTTTTACCATCGCGTACATGGGCGAGCCCACCAATTTAGTTTCCCAGTTCCTCTTAATGATTCCTTCATAGGAGCTGTCATCCATCCACATCGCTTCAAACTTGAAATAAAAAGAGGGCTTCTTACCTTCTGGAACAAGCTTGATAATAATCGGGCAATGGTCAGAGCCCATTCTGGCCTCATGAATGACTTGCATCTGGGGAAATTTGAAACTCCATTCCAAGTTTACCACAACCCTGTCAATTCTCTCTTGCACATTCGCCCTACCTGATCTATTGTTAGATCAAGTGAATTTCGGTCCTTTAAAGTTTGTATCCAAAAGATTGCACTCAGAGATGAGGCCTTGCAGCTCTTCCATCTTTTTTAAAGTCACGTCTTATAGTTTAAAAGTGTGTTTTACAAACACATGCTTACATTAAGAAAAAATAAATTGTAAAGGAAAAACTAAAGTTGAAAAACCAATCCTAAGTGCTGTTATTGGAGAAAATATTGGGTGTAACAATGACATCATGTTATTACCAATGCATGGTGTCACCATTTATTAAGAACGTAACAAGTAAACAATTGGATCTCATATATTATAGTAATTACCCCTCCATACCATTTGGTAACCATTCCAATGTTTGGAAATAAATAGCAATTAGGGTTCACTTAACCCTTAGGAGTGATCCAATGGTCAAACATGTTTGTCTCTTGCAAGCAAAAGATTTTAGGTTTGATACTTGCCACATCTCTTAAAGACTAGCCACCCTTGTTCTTTAGGAGACGTATCCTTAAATTAGCTCGAGTTACAGTAGTCAGTTCAGAACTCGAAGGAGTAGTCAATGCAAGTCTTGACACTTTGTAGCAAAAAAAAAAGTGTGATTCACCTTCCCTACTTATAAATTTATTATTAAAAGATAACACACCATGACGATAACATAGTGTCTATTTACTCGTCTTATTGGATGCCAAAGAGGCTTATCAACATATAAGATAATACAAAAGCAAAATTTTTTTATAAAAACTCAAATGAAATTCAAAAAATTACAACCAAATGTATGTGATCTCTTGGATGAGTGGGACTCGTTGAAAAAATTGATGAAATTCACTTATCTAAATAATGATATACATTTGAGTTATAACGTTTTGAATATTATTTAGCTCGTGTAATATTTTTGAAATATAAAAAACACCTCATGGAATGCTGCCCACTGACACTAATTACACCTTTACAAATCAGATACCATTCTAGAAAAGTTTAGAGAACAAAAGAAAAGTGAAGAAGCTTCTCTCTTTTTCTACATAGACTTTCAAAGCAAAGGCTAAAAGTATTGAGCTCTTTAAGAAGCTACCATATATTCTCTAAGTAAAGTTTCAAAGCAAAGGCCAAACTCATTAAGGGTTGTCAATTTTTGTTGACAAAGAATCGTGTATACCTATGACGTTGTTACATTAGAATATGGTCCTAATGGCCAAATGAGCTTACTTCCGCTTTGATATAAAGAACCACTTATTTAAAATGTGATGTTTCTAAAATTTTCTTTTTCTTCCTCGTGAACCAAACTCTTCTCAAACACCCCAAAAAAACCTTCTTCCAAAATAATTACAATTACTAGAAAGAATAAAAACTATTCATAAAGGCTAAGCTCATACCATGTACATGAATTCTTGTCCTCTGTCTCTTTCACTCATCTACTTGTAAGTTCGTAATTATTGTAACACGTCGAACGAGTTTCTCAAGCATTAACCATGTCACCAATGGCCGATTAGGGTTTAGAAATGCATCTTACAGGATAATGAAAATGTGCGATATAATGTTAAAAAAAAGATTCAATTGATGAGCATATTGAAATAAGTGTGTGAAATCGATTGATCCAACATAACTAAAAGTCGATTAGCACATGGTTAAAGGAAGAAGACCATAGAAATTTAATTGTCCAAGCTTGGTCGTCAACTTAATTAGGAAAACAAAAAAGTCAAAAGATTGAGGTGGTGTTTGGTTTGTGTTTTGAAAACAATTTTTTGTTCTCAAAACAAAAATTTTTTTTAGATGCTGTTTGGACAGTTATTTTCAAAAACAATTTTTTTTAAAAAAATGAGAATTGAGAACAAAAATTAGAGATGAGTTTTCAAACCAAAAAAATAGAAAACAAAGGAAACAATCCCACTCGTTAATGAAGTGAAGTCTCTCATTCGAATCTCCTTTGCAGCAAATTAGCCATAGTATGTAGGCTGCTTTTTTTTTTTTGCTTTCCTCTCTCACTGACTTTCTCTCTCTCCACTGGGCAAAATCAAGCGTCTTCTACTTCACTCCAATAACTGAGAGACCAGGCGTCTTCCACATCACCGGTGCAGCTCCGGCAAATCACAGGTGCAACTCTGAAGACTTGTAACCTTCTATCTCTCTCACGCAACCCATTTCTCTCTCTACAACAGATCTGTGTATATATACAGAACTGTGTTCAAATATATATATATACACAGATCTATGAGTATATATATGTGTGTGTATTGTGCAATGTATGTGTGTGCAATGACTCTACGTGTGTGTATGTTTGTGCTGAGAAGACAAGGGAGTGAGAGATGCTGAGAGAAGATAATGGAGAAAGAGATGCTATGAGAATATAATGGAGAGATAGTTGTTGTGTGGGAAGATAATGGAGAGAGGAGAGAGGAGAGAGAGAGCTACTTTGAGAAGATAAGTTAAAAATTAGTTTTGTTGATCACTGTCTAAATATATTTTATTAGTAAATTATATAACCAAACAAGTTTCAAATTCTGTGTCTAAATATATTTTATTAGTAAATTATATAACTAAACAAGTTTCGAATTCTGTTTTTAAAGATGCAAACTAAAGAGGCTGACTTTCTAATTTCCAAATTTCTTTGAGCCGAAGCAATTCCACACTTTAATGATAAAGTCAAAAGGTGGACTTTCCAATTTCCAAATTTCTTTGGGCCGAAGCAATTCCCAAAAAAGGCTAATCCCACAAGCCCAAAAAAGCTCGTCATTAAGCCAAACCAACTTCCTTATTTCGCAAGTCAAATTTCTCCACACGTCTCTCCCATTTCCCGAATCGGCGTACATTAGGCAGTCACCGACTTGACCGAGGACTAAATAGTAACTTCACTTCCGCACGATCAGAGAACGCAGGATGGCTATATATAGAGACGGTGGAAAGTTTATCAAATTCCAGAAGTTCTCTGCTGTTTCTCTAAATTTCAGAGCTTCTCAATTTTTTGGGCATATATAGAGATTTTGGAGCCATGAATTCAAAATCGATGAGGATGATGGAGACTCAGAAGCATCAATCCAGGAACGTTGTAGATAGAATTAACGTCGGAGTTCCTTCGAAGGTGTTCTCTTCGTCGTCTTCGTCTTCGTCTTCGGTTGCAGCGACGTCGTCTTGGGAAAATCCTAGCAAGCGCTGTTGTTATCATGCGCATGCGGAGTTGTTGGTTCAGAATTACTCGAATTTCAAGAGGAGTGGTCAACCGGTTCGGTTCTTGTACTATTCTGATGATGGGTATTGGGTTGATTTTCCGGTGGAGATTTTTAATTCTCTGAGATCGGGTTTCTTAGAGGGCAAGCCAGTGGTTGAGGTTGAAATTGATGGTTCTGGATGTCTATTTGATTTTTATCGGATGGTTCAGATTCATCTCGAGTCTGGTAAGCAAATTTCTATTGCTTGGATTGATGCTGAAAACAAGTGTTTTTTCCCTGAAGTATTTGTCGGTGGAGGCGGTGGAGAATTCGAGAATTTTTCCGGAAATCCGAATACGGAGATTGTGAGTTCCTCAGAGAATCCGAAAGTTGAAATTGCGGGTGTGAAGGAAAATTTGAGTTCTGGGAATCCGAAGATTGAGGTCGAGATAATAATTGCCGGGGATTCCAATTCCAACCTCAGTTCCGGTAAGAGGAAAAGACAGGACGTTGATGTTGAATCGGAAGGACTGAAGGAAGAGACTCAGGGGAGTTCGTCTAATTGCCAGAGTCACGGAGCGAAAAGGCGGCAATGTGTTGTATCTGATTTGGGATCACCGAGGTGGCCGAAGGCAAAATTGTTGAAACCAGGCGATAAAGCATATTCGATTGTGGAAAATTTGTTTTCAACTTGGCTAAGAATTGTTGAGCCTAGTGCTACAATTACCGCGATTCATCAATGTCTCCGAACCGGTCCGTTGGATAGAGCACGGTACCAAGTTTTCCAGAAGCAGATGGAGATTATGAAGGCTGCTAGGGGAGACTCCAATATGGTATTCGCTTGGCATGGGACGTCTGCCAAAGGCGTCGAGAGCATTTTGGCTCATGGGTTTAGTATGCCCAACAAGATTTCTGGTTCTGAAGCTCATGGTGTTGGTGTTTACTTGTCTCCTGCAAAGTCACCTCACATGAGGTACGTAGAGTTCACAAGTATACAAGATTTACAATCCTATGATTTGAGTTTTATTGGAATTTTGGCCACAATTGTATTGAGTTCTACTTATTGTTTTCAATTAGGTAGTTTATATGCATATTTTTCTCTTGAATGGTGAGAATGCAGATGAGTTTTACTGATTGTGTAATTGATTTGAATTGTTTTTTAGTGCAATGTTATCGGAGGTAGATGAGAATGGCGAAAAGCATGTTATACTTTGTCGAGTGCTATTGGGCAACCGTGAAAAGGTTGGGGCAGGGTCTCAACAGTTATATCCTTCAAATGTCGGTTTTGATACTGGTGTGGATGATCTTAACAATCCTAATTGGTATGTGGTGTGGTGTGCCAATATGAACACACATATCCTTCCCGAGTGCGTTGTGAGCTTCAAATCTTGTCAAGGCGTGCCAGGTAATTCTTGTTCTCTCTCTTTCTGTTTGTTTATTGTTTTTGCTTTCTATGTATCTCTACTTGAATTTTGGAAACTAATTCTTTCTCTCTCTCTTTTTTTTTTTTAAACTTTTTAGGTCAATTGAATGGATCATCATCTACGAAGCCGGTTCCTCATGCATTGCCGTTGGGAGCAAAGTTATTTTCCAAACTGGAAAGTTCTCTTCCTCCATCCAAAGTTTGTGAATTGCGAACACTATGCAGTACATATAAGGTATATGTTTCTTCAATTATTTTTTGTGAAGTTTTGCATATTTTGTTAAATAATTAAATGAGGAGCAGAAAGAATATGTAGGGTTGAAAATGTTCTTATGTTCTTGCTGTTGATTTAATTCTTGAACTTCTGTCACAGGATAAAAAATTGGGGAAAGAGATTTTCATGAAACAGTTGCGATCAGTCGTTGGGGATGATATGTTGCGTATGACTATCCATGAAATTCGTGGCTAAGAATGAGGTTTTTTCAGTTTTTGGTTTCATTCAGAAGAATTTAGAGATTGTTCTTGTCATGGATAATCCACATATACGAACACACATCAATTTACACAATTACAGGATTTTTAAAGAGGAAAACCTCAGAGATAGGGCTGTTTTAGTTTTTTTTTTTATTATTTGTATCTTCAATTCCCAACCAGTTATGTAGTGACTATGCCTCAAGTTCAATGGAAAATTTTCTTGTTTGCTATTGAAATGCTTCAAGTGCTTCCCTTATTGTGGTATGCAATTTTGTTCTCTCTTTAAACCTCATCAAGACAAGCAAGCACCTCTAAGGTTGAGGTTGATTTTGGTTCTCTCTAGCTCTATTTCTGTAGCCTAGTGATTTTATTGTACTTCCTGAAGATCTTGCATCGTGTGAGATAATGTCTGCTTTGTTGCATACAGATTGTGGTTCATTGCTTGTTTTTTCCTCTATTGATTTAAATCTTTAAAAACTAGCACATGGATGAGCAAATGAATCAGAATTTTCTTTCTGACTGGTGGTAGTAGATGGCGTTATTAAATATTCATTTTTCGACCCTATATGATGAGTGAACCATGCCAATCACAAGATGGCGGCACTAGAAATTTTCATATATGTGGAGGTGGCTGAACCAAGACAACCTATCTTACTAATAAGAAGAAAGGGTTAAGGGCTTCCAACGCCTAAAAATAGAAGCTTCTTTCGGTCTCTATTTGGAAAAGGGAGACGGGGCCAAAGTTAGAAGTCAGCAAGAAAGAGCTTTGACTAGCCATGGATATCACTAGAAGACTTGAGGGAATGAAACAAGAAATATGTCAGGTGAAAAACGAGAAGCTCCAACGAGAGCAAATGCTGTAGATATGGTGTTCACAAGAAGTATTATGGGCAAATTAGTATTCTTTATATGTATCACAGAAAAATGGTACATCTTTGGTGTGAACTGGTTTTAGTTGTGGTGGAGATGTGTTCGAGCTACAAAGGAAGTGCAGAATTTCAATTGCTGGTGATGTTAAATCATAATGTATTATTGATTCTGAATAATGTGTACCGACAAATGATATCACTAATTTATGAATACTGATGTCTTCTGACAGAGCTATACTTGAATGTTCTAGACTGCGTATTATGGAGCACATTTTGTGAATTATTTCACTAGAAAAAGTTACAGTTGCTGTTAATTTGTAGCACATTTTTAAACTTCTGTTTGTCTCTTTGATTTCTCTTCATAATTTGTATGCTATTTTTTGTGCCTTTTGTGCAGTCAGAGAAAACTTGTTATTGTTTGTCCATTATAACAATGGTAGGGAAAATCAGAAAGTTGGTTCACATCTATATACCAGTTTGAAAATGTGTCGTGTATGTTGGATTGTGAAAATGAATGAATAATGCATCATGGCATATGGTTACAATTTCAGCGGCTGTAGAGTGATCAGACTGAAGGCCGAGCTATCATGCTAGATTTGCATGGATGGCTTGGAAATTTGTAAACAATGTCAAAGATATGGAATGGAACACAATATCATATCTATACGTTGACTATTTTAAGAGTGAATATGTAAGTTTGTTGGCTCTGTGTGAGGTATGTGTTATGGCTTAGTAATCTTAATTGGACACGTTTTTTGTAAGGAATATCTTTTCAACCTGTGAATTGAACTGTGCACGTGGAGGCTGCAGCCACTAAAGTTAACAGTTAGTGGTGAGGTACTGAATGTTTTCAATAAACTCATGGTGTTTAAATTGGGCATGTCCTTCCGAAGCTTTGTTTATAGACATTTTTAATGAAGGTTCCTTGTTTTCCATCCTTCTATGACTGATTTATTTTTCTCAACATACCAATTCTCAGAAGTCTTATCATGGTTTGTGTAATCGAGTGTTAGGTTGGTGCTAGAAGAGGCTGTTGATGGATAGCCGAGAATTATGATGTGTAAGGGAATATGAGCTTCAGTATAAGTAAACATCATACAAGATGGCTCATTGAGATTCATCTAATGTAGGTTGAAAATCTTTGGGTGGTTCTTGAGGGTGATGAAACTTGTGTTTGTAGCCCTAAATAATTTGAAAAGGGCATGGAGAATAAGTGTTGCATGATGAGCTACAATATGCCGGATCTTGTTTCTCTAATTAACGATGTCTATCCGGGAGATAATTTATCTAACTGGGTCTTCTCGCTTAAAAGAGAGAAAAATAATATTTTGGCCGGAAAATACTATAACTAACTTCCTCATCCTGGCGTTCTTGATTTTGTCTTCTCAGTTGTTGTTTAGTATGTGGTGTTGTGCTTTAGCTGTGCAGTAAGGTTTAGCTATAATTTCAGTAAACATCGGCATGGTGTTGGACCTATTTGTATGGGGAGCATCTGAGGTGGAATATGTTTTCCTAGGCTCTGTTGCTATTGATTATTAAAGCAGTTGATCCATATTTTGAAAGTGGTGACAGTTTTACAAGGAGGATATGTTTAGTGGTGCTACATGATGGAAAGATAGTATAACCAGTTCATTGAAAAATCCAATGCAAGACATGAAGGAAATTTGGTAATGATAGGCTTGCAAACAAGCTTGAGTAATCATGAAATAAAGCACTTTAAAAAGACCCCCATACCTTGAGTAATCTCTTTTTCTTATCACTTATGCAGTGAGTTGATCACCTCAGATTCCCATATTCAACCAGACAACACCCCCACCCATTGCCGCCAGAAAGATGGTAAAAGGAGCAGAATGGAAACGAGGTAAGGTCTCGTGCTGGCCTAACAAATATGCTTCGAGGTGCTTAATTTTCCTGATTATTGTGCCTTAACTCACGAGGTTATGAGGTGAATAGTTAAGCTTCGAAGTCCACTTTATTTCTATTGTTATGCTTGATTCCTATAATTAACTCAACCTACTCAGCATTGCATCAGTTTGTGGTTATGCACATGCACATATGGTAACATTGACATGTAATAATTAACCATTGGTGTTTTGTTGCATCTTTCCTTCTTCAGCTTTTGATTTATACTTTTGTAGACGGTCTCTCCACGCACACGAGGTAAGATTGCCTACATTTGATCTTCTCTAGATCTGATAGTAGCGAGAGTCTTGTATACTGAGTTAATTTATTTATTTTTTAAAAACATGGGCAGGTGTATATTGATTTTTAATTACTTAGAAGGATGCATCTATATCTTGCATCCGTGTACTTGCTTGTCTATATTCGTTCTGTACCTTCTTTGTATGTCCACACACTCAAATGCGATATTCTTATGATAATTTACTCTTAAGCACTGAATCAATATCTGTGAGAATAGAACAGGGACATTAGATTCTACCCTCATCACATATTCTCCTTGTTTCTCTTCCTTTTTAAATGGTGGTGGACAATGAGTTCAACTTGGTTCTGTATGGACGGAGTTGGATTTCGCACATACTGTCCCCATATGTCCCTATGCATCATTCTTGGTACAGCTGCAATTTCTTCAATTAAATTCGGAGTATTAGAATCTTTGAATCAGATTTTATTTGTAGAAATCGACTAGTGATTTTTTTTTTTTGTCTTTGTCTTGAATTGATCTTGTGTTGGTTGAGTCTAGGAATTACCATCTCTTACTATTTAACGAGGTCAATTATTATTTACTTCTCCCAAATCAAAAGGCTAAATTTTGTACATAGGGTATGATTATTTTTTGGCTGATGGGGTTGGAGAACCTCAATTGTGGAAGAATTTGAACAAGTAGGTTCACTATCACGAGTCCTGACAAATTTTATCTATTATAAATATCTTAGTCTCGGTGTAAATAATCTGTCTTTGATCGAACCGGTAATGAGATTAGTCGAAATGCACGTACGTCGGTCCGAACACTTTTGCCCGTTAAACCTTAAAAAAAAAAGTCTTCCAGAAACTAGGTCAGGTTTGATGAATATGAAAGCAGACCAACTATTTGATGCTTAATCATAGGTGAATAGCTACATGACATCATTTTATATGTGCTGTGATGCAGATGCTCTTTTGATGAGATTCCGACTCTTTATGTATGTTATTCTTCCCTGCTTAGTGCCTAAGCTAGATGCCACTAAATACAAAGAATCAACATCTATGCGGTAGCTATCTAAGTTCGTTTCCACCCATTTTCATTTCACACTCATCTCTCCAAAGTCTACATCAATAGGGAAAATGGAACACACTGTTTAAGGCTCCTTTTTTTCTAATGGGGTTACATTGAGTATCGAGAAATAATTTTTTGGTATTGCTAAATATCAATTCAAACCAGAACATGTTAAATAGAGTCCACTCGTGTTGATGGCCCCCAAAACAATGGACCAAAAAAAAATATCCAAAAAATGCGTAGACATGTTTGATTCGTTGTTTTCGATGTTTTCCACCAACTAGATTTATTCGATAACTGCTCCTTTCACATCGACTCACGAAAACGAAGGTTCAAGCAGGGAGAGTGGTTGATAAATTCCTTGTCAAGCTGGCATCACCATTAATCTTTGTGCAAAAACTATAAAAAAAAAATAAAAAAAAACACCACAATTAATATATTCTCTGTGTATAATGTCACCTGAAATTAATAGCGTGAAACTGATCCCTCGGAAATGTATCTAATAAAATACCTAGCCCTTTAAATTTTATTTCTTTATATTTTTTTTTTGTCTATTTTTATCACATCAACTACCTTAAATAGTTGGATTTAATTAATATTTAATAAAATAAATTTTAAATTATATAATTAAAAAGAAAGTAAAAGACAAATAACTATTTAATATTGTAGGCTTGATTTTTTGGTTGCTAGTTGTATAATAGTTGAACCAAATGAGGTCTGGGATTATCATATTGTGTGAATTTTTTGAAGGACTAGATGTCTCTGATTCTCTCTTATAAACCTTAGATGAATCATGCTTATTGTTTACAATGCACCCTTAGTCATATAACAATGCGACCTGTTTTTAGTAAAATTCTCATGTAAAGTTCTTCAAAGAGAGTACTACATGAATTAGTCTTATAAAAATAAACAAAATGAAAAATAGAACAAAAAAATCTATATAATAAAATACAATACAATTCAAATTTTAAAAGATAAACAAAATGACTTTTATTTTTCGCAGTTAAGATCTCTTTAAAATTTACTTTAAAGTTAATATGACGGTTAATATTAACACCGTAAATTTAATAGAAAAAATAGGCTTATAAGGGTATGTGTTGGGTTAACTTTTTAAAAGTACTTTTAAGATTTATAACTTTTTATAAATATTTTAAAAAAAAAAGTAGTAGTAGTAGTAGTATTTGGAACTGTCCCACCACCATCTCCACTACCGCCACCATATTACTACTACTGTCACCACACCACCATCTTAGCTTCAACAACCACCAGCATTGTCACCACGCCACCACTACTACCACACCCGCCGTCCCACCATCACCACTACCACCATTTTTATCGCCCCATTACTATCATTATCACCGCTGTCGCCACCCTATCACCCTTACCGTTGTCACCCCACTACCATCTCTCTCACAACAACTATCATCACCATCGTCGTCACCACCACCACCACCCCAAAACTACCCCACCACCATCTTCCACTGTCGCCTACCATCATTGCCATCGTTTGCCTTAACTATAACAGGTGTTTAAATTTATTTCTCTCTCTTCTATTTTTGTAATTTGATTTTGGGTGTAAATATAAATATGTTTATTATTGACCATTTTTTTGATTGCTCAATATTTTCAAACATAAAAAATAATTAATTGTTGAATAAAGTAACATACCTTTTGTTTTGGACCACATTATTACTTTTTTATATGATTGAAGGTGAATGAAGAAATTCTTGTTCACCCAAACTAACAATCATTACAATCACACATGGTGAGTCAACTTTAAAATGATTGTCCTTATATTCGAAACTAGTCATACACGAGTTATGCATTGGTGAAAACTGAAAAAGAAGCTAATTTTTATAATAAAAGTATGTTTTTTAAATTTATTTATTAATTATTGTAATTTTAAATAATGTATCAAAATTTTATGCATAAAATGTTTGGTAAAAATTAGTAGACTTTATTGATTCAACCACCCATATTAATTTAGAATATAAAATTTAATAAATGATTTGATAAAGATAACAATACTCAAGTTTTATTCATATGAATTGTGGTTTGAAAAATTTTAC